TTGAAATGATAAATGACTTCATCTTCCAGCCAATCCCTGATGTTTTTCTGTTGGCTTAGTGGCTGCACATGACTCTCCTGCTATTTTAATTATCATCTGCCACCTCACGGCCACGCAGGCCAGGGCTTTTAGTCCTACTCTGCTGTGGTTGCAATATGTAGGTTTAAATTAAGTCTCTGTCATTCTATTTACCAATAAGATTAAAAAGTCAAAGGCTGGGGTAAAAATCTCCTATAGCTCAGAGAGGCTGAGTAGCAACTATCCGATCTTGCTTTTTGGCCAGAGATACTGTAAGAGACACCTCTCTTCACTTGTCCCAGAACCAAGAGGAAGGTCAAACTCCAGGCCCTGCCCCTTCCTTCCTGTGCATCTTCTCTATCCAAATTACTGGTTTCTCAATGGCCAATTCTGGTCAGCTAGTATCTGGCTCTGCCCCCCTGATTTAAGGTATAACTTTTTTGGGTAGTCTTGGGAGCATCATAGTGCAATCAAAATATCCCACAACAAATCCCTCTTTTTAAATAAAACATTTACACATGTATGTGCCATCTGCTATGTGTATGCAGATGCCCGTGGAGACCAGAAGAGGGCATTGGGTTTCCTGGAACTGGAGTTACAGGCATTTGTGAGGTACTTGATGTGAGTGTTGTGAACCAAATTCTTGTCCTCTGCAAGAGCAGCAGGTGTTCTTGACCGACAAACCATCTCTTTAGTGTCGTGTCGTCATCCCCCGTGTACCCCCCCAGCCCCCCCCCCCCCCTTCCCCCGCACATGCTTATTTTGAGGTACTTTTAGCTTACTCGGTAGGGAAGTTAATAGTAAAATATTGATTGAACTTGCAAGTACTTTGAATTAAACTAGGGTTGGCAGTTTTTCTTCTTAATGGCATGGCTTTTAATCTTGATGCTTCTTTATTTGGCAGTGAATCTTGCCTTGGAGTGAGGTTTTCTATCAAGTGGGAAGGGTAGGAAGGGACAGGTTTGAGAGATGAAGTGAGTGTACAGTAAACCTTTATTGAATTCAGGGACTGACTCTTGACAAGAGGAAGTTGGCTAATCCACTATTGAGCAATTGTGTGTAGATTTCCTACTTAGAAATACACTTCTCTGTGACAATGTACATGAAATATGCTTTTATTTCCCATTACAAACCAGATTTAAGCTAAAACCACATATAACATATACCCCCAATTCTCAGGTGCTGTGTATAATGTCAGTGTTTCAAAATTAAACCCTGAAGTTTCCAAAGGATTATTGAAATAATTTGCAAGTAGGATTTTTTTTATAGATTCCAACATATATCTGTACAGATATTTGGAGTTGTCTGTTTCTGAGATGGGGATCTGTTGTATAGATTCCAGCATATATCTGTACAGATATTTAGAGTTGTTTGTTTCTGAGATGAGGACCTGTTGTGTAGCCCACACTGGCTAATGTAGCCCAGCCTGGCCTCAGGTTTCTCTCGCCTTAGTCTTCTGAATGCTGAGATCACACGTGTTGTCCCCACATCCAAGTTCATTACTGTTTGGATTCATTTCCCTGGTCATTGTGGTGGGTGTCTTTTCAGGTGCTCCTTGGCTGCTTCTAGATTGTGGGAGAAATCACCAACATTATTGCTCCATTACTGAGCTTCATGAACATCACCCATTTAAAAAATGTGTTTTTAAACATTTTAAAACTCAAACATTTTTTATTGTATATAATTATTGTATACATGGTACTGTGGTACATGAGGATATTTTCACACAGATACATGTCCACTGAGCATATCCACCTTGCCACCTCCCATTCACCCCTTATTTCCCTGTACAAGTTCATGTCATCTATACATAGGTGATTTTGCCCATGTATGTATAAAATCTAGGAGCCACAAATACAGGAGAAAACATTTGATAGTCGTCTCCTCTCCCCACCCCCCCTCCGCCCGGGATTGGCCTGATTCACTTACTATGGTTAATTATGTCCAGTTGCTTGTAAATGACGTAACTCCTTTGTGGCTGAAGAAGACTGTATATGGCACATTTTCTTCATCCATTCTTCCATTGTGGTCCTTAGCTTAGCTGTTGTGAATAGTCTGTGTGGTTCCCTGGCTGAGAGTCTTTCTGGCAGACACCCAGTTGTACGACAGGGTTATGTAGCAGATCTGCTTTCAGTTTTTTGTTTGTTTTGTGTTTTACAGATTTTATGCAGGGATTAGACACATTAGTGATTAACTCTGAGTCAACAATAATGCACTGGTTTCGCATTAAGGAAAGAAATAAAAGTACTTCCCCTTGGTGTCATTTAACCAAGAGCGAGCCCAGATTTGAGTTCTCCACCTCATGCTCCTCCTGTGTCTTCTGTCCTTTGTTGTGTGATAGGAATCTGTGCCTGCCTGAAGGCTGTCTTTGTGAATCTGTCCCTGTGTCTGGGTCTTCTGTCTGTCAGTTTATGAGATGTGTGTCTGCTTAATCGAAGGGCCTCGCTCCATCTTTATTGAACGGCACAGAGAGCACACACGGGAGGGAATGAGCTACTGTAGAGAAATCTTCAACGCTTTATAAGGATGAAGTCACTCGCTCCAACAGATCCACACTACAAACTACTGTAAATATTGTTTATCAGTCAATATCCATAAATGTGCTGTCAGCCTTCATGGTAGTGAGGAAGTTGCTCCCAACCTCTGTATTCGCTGCTTTCAGCAAAGGACACACACACGTTGTTCTGGGTCAGGGGCACAGAAGAGTACGTAACTGAAAGTTACAGCTATGACCAGGTGGTGGTGGCACAGGCCATTGACCCAGCACTCTGGGAGGCAGAGGCAGGCAGATCTCCGAGTTCTAATCCAGCCTGGTCTACAGAGTGAGTTCCAGGACTGCCAAGGCTGCACAGAGAAATCTTGCCTCAAATAAAAAACAAAAACAATAAAAACAAAAAGATTATAGCTATGCATTAGTTTAGATTGTAAACGGTGGTTACATGAGAAATCCAAGGCAAGTAAGGATGACTGTTACATTGTCACTTAGGAGCAGGCCAAGCAGTAGGCTAGCTGGTAGACTTAGTGACCTCAAGGTGTATTGTTAGCTCTGGCTGTGTGGTCTAGCCAATGTTCTAACCTCTTAGACTGCAAGAGATAGTTTTAGAATATTTCATTGCCACAGTTTTGTTCTTTGTTTTTGTTTTTGAGACAGTCTTACTGTACAGCCTTGGCTGTGCTGGAACTCAGAGATCTGCCTGCCTCTGCCTCCCAGAGTGCTGGGATTAAAGTCATGTGCTATCAAGAGAAGCCAGTTTTTAGTTTACTGAGGGAACCGCCCCAGTGGTTTCCATGGTAGGGAACTGGGTTATATCCCTACCAGCGGTAGGTAGATAAGGCTTTCCTCTGTCTACATCCTCACCAACATTTTTTTTTTTTTTTTTTTGGTCAGGACCCAGATATTTTTCAATTGTGCATAGCGGTCTCTTTTCCACTTGGAGGCAGTAAGAAAGACATCTTTAATCACTCATTTGAATAAGCTACCAAGGAAATTGGAGCTCAAAGGTCCCTGAAGGAGTAGCTAGTTTAAATTGTTCAACAGTATTGACTCAAAGATTTAGATAGAGAAATTTGAATGAGAGAAGTAAAGATTACATTTTGATTACAAACCTAAAAGGAAAATAAAGATTGTCTTAGGCTGTGTGAGTTTGTCTATTTCCTCAGTTCTCCATTTACCATGTTCTTGAACCCTTTGAACTGGGAGCAGAGTCTTAAGGTATTTTAATAAATTTTTGTGTGCTTGATATTGTCTGCCCCCTTCTTTAGTGTGTATATGTATATGCATGTGTAGGTAATGTAGGTAGTGTAGGTACATGTGTGTGCTCGCGCGTGTGCGTGCATATGTCTATGGAGCACAGCCTTGGGTGGTGGGTATATGTATATGCATATGTAGGTAGTGTAGGTATGTGTGTGTGTGTGTGTGTGTGTGTGTGTGTGCGCGCGCGCGCGCGCACGCATGTGTCTGTGGAGCACAGCCTTGGGTGTTGTTCCTCCGGCATGGTCTACCCTTTCTTTTTCTTTTCTTCTTCTCTTTTCTTTTGGACATGGAGTCTTTCGCAGGCTGGGAGCTCACTGAGTAGGCTAGGCTGACTGCCCAGCCCGCCCCGGGTGTTACTCACCTGTCTCTGCAGCCTCAGCACGGAATTACAAGTGCACACCACTACACCTGGCTCTTTTAAAGTGGGCTCTGGGACTTGAACTCAGATCCTTGAGCTTTCACAGCAGGCACTTCAGCAACTAAGCCGTCCCCCCAGCCTCTGCTTTCTTGTCTTAGACGTTGTCTTCCATCTTTCTCTTTATAACATCTGGGCAATTTAAAACGGTCCAGCTGCATTTTCTGGACAGATGTTGACGTCTCAGTAGTTCAGGGGCTGTGCTATAGTGTTTTGTTCTATGCATATGACGATGACAGGGCTGTTGGATTTGCTACAGCTGCGTTTCCCAGAAATCTTTGTGTTGATGAGAGCATAAAGAACTAACACTCGGGGATGTGGTGGCGCATGCCTTAATGCAAGCGCTCAGGAAGCTGAGGTAGGCGGATCTCTGAGTTCAAGGCCTGCCAGGTCTACAGGGTGAGTTCTAGAATAGCCAAGACTACAAGAGAAATCTTGTCTTGGGGGAAAAAAAGACCTCACAGATTAAGAACTGCCATTCTTGGGCTAGAAATATAGCTCAGTTGGTAAAGTACTTTGCATAAAGTGATATGGTGGGATGGATATACCTGTAATCTCAGTATCTAGCCGGAGTCAGGAGGTAAGAGTTTAAGTCATCTTCAGATACACAGTGAGTTTGAGACTAGCCTGGACTACATGAGATCCTGCCTCAAAAAAATAATAATAAAATAAATAAATAAATAAAAAGAAAGAAAGAAAGACAAACAGATAACACCCAGCACTGTTCTTGGGCAGATGGGCAGTAGAGATTTGCTAGCCTGGTGAGTTTTTCTTACACCGTCTTGATTGGTCTCTTTTTCTCCTGTTTTATAGCCGCTTCCTGAGAAGTTTGTGGTGAAAGGTGTCGTGGATCGTTTTTCAGAAGAGTTTGTGGAGACCAGAAGAAAAGCTTTGGATAAATTTCTAAAAAGGATTACAGATCACCCCGTGCTCTCTTTCAACGAACACGTCAACGTGTTCCTCACTGCTAAGGTACAGGCAGAGCTTCGTGGGTTTCTCTGTACACGATCATTGTTGGGCTCCTTCGCAGACAACCGCTTTGGTCTTTCACGAGCCTCTTCTGTGAATGGCCCTCTGAGGTAGGCTCCATCAAGGCTCCCTACGTCCTTGGTGCCCATGGCATTGGCATGGTTACTGTCTTAGAATCCAGGTGGAGAACGAGCTGCCTCTCTTGCTGTGGCAGTGGACGCCAGTATTCTCTCTCGCCGAAAGCAGAATGTCCAGTAAACACTTCTTGCAGTGTTAGTAGGTGAGGCTTACCACAATAGGCACAGAAGAGAAAGGATACTGGGCATTTGGTAAGAGTGTTCTTCAGGGCTGGCAGGATGGTTCAGTGGGTCAAGTGTTGGCCACGGAAGCCTAAGGAGCCAAGTCTTCTCTCCAGAGTAGAAAGACTCAGCTCCACAGGGTTGTCCTCAGACCTCTACATGCCACCCACACACCAAGGTTCACACACACAGACACACACAGATTCATTCTCTCTCTCTCTCTCTCTCTCTCTCTCTCTCTCTCTCTCTCTCTCTCTCTCTCTCTCTCTCTCAAAATAATACATTACAAGAGTGTTTTCTGTAAGAACCTGTTGTGGACACAAAGGTCCTTGTGCCCACAGAGCACAGGGAACCAGGAATGTTAAACACACAGGGCCTCCTCTCAATGGAGGAATTACCTGTTTTCCACCCAGAAGGCTGGGAGTGGATACTGTTAACAACCTGGTGACCTTTTTGTTATCTGTGGAGGTACATCTCATCCACTGCCTTAGGGTTTCTGTTGTTGTGAAAAGACACCATGATCACAGCAACTCTTATAAAGGAAAACATTTAATTGGGGTGACTTGCTTGCTGTTTCAGGGGTTCAGTCTGTTATCATGATAGGGGGCATGGCGGCATGCAGACAGACGTGGTGCTGGAGCTGAGAGTCCTACGTCTTGCAGGTGACAGGAAGTTGACCGAGACACTGGGCAGTATCCTGAGCATAGGAAACCTCAAAGCCCAGGCCCACACTTCCTCCAACATGCCATACTCTAACAAAGCCACACCCTCTATGAGATTATGAGGGTCAATTACATTCAAACTACTACCTTTTGCTATAGAGGCAGACCTCACCCAAATCACCCAGAATGCTTATCCCAGACTCTACCCTCCCTAGAACATTGTCTTTAGCCCCTAGTTAATAGAAGCCATCCTTAGGGAAGATGTTACATGCACTTTCTGGCTCTGTGCTGTCTTGGTCAGAGGCCACACTAGATTCTATTCCCTTTAGCTGTAGAACCCACCCTCATGGCCACATGTACTTTGCAAAGGAGTTCCTATGTAATCACACCTTAAGCTTTATTGTGCACCTGGAATTGGGATGATTGTTGCCTGGAACCTTTTCCCCAAATTTTGCTGTGTTTTAAATATGCTGACAATGACCCGCCTGGCATCAGGTGCCCCGGGTCTGATCCGGGTCGACGAAGTTAATAATCTGAGCAGAGTGTTCATCCTCACCTCTGCCTTTACACCTTCGGGCCCCTCACGGGCCCTGTAAATAACTGTAGCTTCATTTTTCAGACAAGGAAACTGAAGTTCAGAGAGATTAAACTCGGTCAGTCGATGACATCACTAGGACTGGAAATTGGGTCCCGGGGCTCTTAGCCTCAGTTTCCGCCTGTATCCCAAGGCTTGGCCATTGCCTGCTGGCAGCTCTCTTCCTCTTAGGTGTGCTTTCCAGTCATTTGCCAGAAAAATCGTTGGTTTCCAGCCTCCTGCTAGAGACTGCTCAAGCTCAAGTTGCTTGCTCACTGGCCTTGTGTTTTGCTTGCTGTTGGCAGAACTGGCCTGCAGTCTAAGGTACTGCACTCTCACGTGCACAAATGGGGTCACATGCTCAGACTCCCAGGCGGCTTCTCCCTAGCCAACCCATTTAGCTTCAGATTCCTGCATTCCAGCCGTATATAGTACACTCTAATGACAAGGGTATTGAGGTCTAAGTACTGTCCACTTTACTTTGTTAAAATGACAGGAAAACAGAGACATCTGTACAGACAGAAACTGCTGTCATTTAAGGCTTCTGGAAGATTCTGTTTGCCACTCATGGAAACTATCTGCAAAGTCCTTTAAGTTTTTGTTTTTAAGTCAGTCGATGGCAGCCAGTGCACTAGCTCCCCCTACAGGTTGAACATGGTTAATGTAAGCATTTCTCAGCGTATGGATGTTTGGGCAGGGTTCTTCAGGTTTCCTTTTCTCCCAAAGTGCAAGTCAGTTCTCAGGTTGCAGGTCCTTTATCCAGTAGCCTCAGGCTGTCCTCATTACTGAATGAAGTTGTGGCTTGGATTCCTGGTCCTTAGGAATCTGCATGAAGAATGAGTGGGAAATAGTGTGTGTGTCTCGGAGAGAGGTGAACTGAGATCTCTGGGCTAAACAGTATGACAGATTTTTTAAGATGTATAACACGGTCCTGCGGTGTCTCCATGGAAATCCTGTTCCGTGTAAGTGAATGCAGGAAAGCAGCCCTTGAACACGGAGTTCTACCCGGGCTTGGTGTGGTGCACACTTTTAATCCCAGCATTTGGGGAGTGGAAGAAGAAGGATTAGGACAGGGACATCCTTAGCTACATAATGAATTGAAGGCCAGCCTGGGCTACATGAGCCCCTGCCTGAAGAAACAGAGAACAAAGCCAGGAAGAAAAACCTGTAACCCCATTTGAGTGTCACTCGCCAAACCGCTCATCTGTTCTTAAAAAAATTAACTATAATAAAATATATATGATGTGAAACGTCTTTCTTTAAAGGTTTATTTATTATGTATATTGTGTTCTGCCTGTAGGCCAGAAGAGGGCACCAGATCTCATTACAGATGGTTGTGAGCCGTCATGTGGTTGCTGGGAATTGAACTCAGGACCTCTGAAAGATCAGTCAGTGCTCTTACCCTCTGAGCCATCTCTCTGTATTTTCTTAACCATTTCTAAATGCACAGGCCAGTAACGTTAAGTATATTCACACTGCTATGCAACCATTCTCCAGAACTCTTCTAGAACTTTCCAGTCTTAACAAATCTGAAACTCTCCTCATGAGACAAGAGCTGTTTCTCCTCACCCATCTCTTCCATATTTTCCTTTGACATACTGTTGTGTGAACCCCCCTGGGGAGATGTCAGCAACCATCTCTTCCTCCTCCAGATAGGGCACCAACATAATGATGCCTCCAAAGCCGAGCTCCACAAACCAGTGGGTTCATTGGGTTTTATTTACAGAGCCTGGGGAAAGGGTTACATACAGCAGAATGTATGATTAAATCAACCACACAGCAAAAGAGTCTCACCCCAGCATATGTTCCTGTGGTTGCACAGATGAGTATTCCCTTCTATTAACTTCCTGTGCTGTATATAAATAAGATCACTCCCACCACAAAGGAGAATTCCATACACCTGGGAGGGAGGTCTAGGGAGGAGTGGCTGGAGTCTCAGCTGAGGTCTGATGGTCTTCCTCCTGTGAGTAGCAACAAGCCTGACCTATGGGTCCCTGGGTAGATGCAGCTGTTGATGAAGGCACTAAGCTTCAGGCAGTGTCTTACAGCGTGGAGTGAGTCTGAGTTCTTAGATGAACCACCTGTATGCAGCATTTGCAGAGACAGTCCTCTTGGGGATGACATGCCCTTAACCCAAACTAGACATGTCTCCAAGAAGAAGGCAGTGGTGCTGGGAGTGTGAGGAAGGAAGCTTGGTGGACTGTGTAGGCGTGGCCTTCATTTGTGGTGGAATGGATTTGTCCTACAGCAGCAGTGGGTAGATTTGCCCAGAGGGCCTGGGGTCTAGCCATGTTGACAGGGAAGCTGGACATGAACATATGGATGTGAGTCTGGGGGTCTGTTGTAGAGTTCTGTTCTCCAAACAGAACAGCCGTCATCTTGTCAGAGCAGCCGTGACTTTTTGCAAGAGACCCTCAAGAATGGGTCCTGGTGACTTGTTGTTCCCTCAAAGAAGGATAGGCATGTGTGTGGTGGGTGGGGTGGGGGGGGTCTTCATTGGACCCTCCCTGGATCCCAGCCACGCCCTCCCTCACTTTACAGCCAGCTGTATATGATTCTTCCTGGTTGCACGTGGCCTCATGGTCTTGGGAGATGCTAGTTTAGCTGAGGGAGGCTCTCCGTGTTTTTGGCTCTGGGGATGTCCTCATCCATGCTGGAGTGAGACTTTCTTGTGTGTGTGCCCCTCGCTCCTGTAAGTGGCCCCTCCCCTGTACTCTGTAAGCTCAGTGAACTGACTGGCCCCTCAGTTTGGACATCGGACTTGTGCTTTGGTTTGCCCTGTAAGGGTAGATAGGTGTTTGTTTGGCTTCCCCAGGGAAAGAGTTCCTACATGGGGCTGTGATGTGTGTGTGGCCCTGACAGCTCCTGCTTTCTAGTTCTTCTGTTTCCAGTAGTCGCTGGTTTCCTTAGCCCTGGCTGTGTGACCAAGATGGCACTTTGTCGTCTGCAGGACCTGAATGCCTACAAGAAGCAGGGGATAGCACTGCTGACCAGGGTGGGTGAGTCCGTCAAGCATGTCACGGGAGGCTATAAGCTGAGGAGTCGGCCCCTGGAGTTTGCAGCCATCGGCGACTACTTAGACACGTTTGCACTCAAACTGGGAACCATCGATCGGATAGCCCAGCGGATCATCAAAGAAGAAATAGGTGAGCTCTTTGTTGAGGCTGACGGTGCCCAGAGTAGCAGGAATGGCATTCATATATGCCAGGCTGAAACAACCTGCAGAAATGCCACAGTGACAGAATCAGGTCTTATTCTGCTTAAAAACCAAATGTGAAGCGGGAGGAGCTGGTTGTGACGAGAATGCAATTTTGCACTCGGACCTTGAACTGCACCCAGCCTGGTGCTTTTCCCATGCTCTCCATCCACAGGGCCGATGATTACAGAAATGAACTTAGCAGAGAGGTGGTTCACAAGAACAGTGTGGGGACCTGTGTTTGCCAAGGTTGTGACCCAGTGAGTTTTTGAACTTGGTATCTACGCCGTCACTCTGCCCTGCTTCACTTCACATCCTCTTCTGAGCCGGGGAGTTGCTCAAGCCTAAGTCTGTCCATTCTTACCACCACCACTGCCTGTGTGTCTGCCCTTCTCCTGTCATGGCCAACTAATTAGCCACATCCCAGTATCAGGGGGCACTTTGTCCCCCTTACATATGCCAAACACCTGAACAATGGTAATTATCACGCCAAGACATGAAACACGTCACACAGGTGTTTAAAACACCCCAGTTACTGCCATTTCCTAATAGTTAAACAACAACAACCAAATTCTGTTAAAAATGGCAGGAATCCTGGTAACAAGGGAAGGGCCAGATAATAATAGTTTCCTTATTCCTTGCAACCACTGATGGGACCATTGGGTGAAGGACTGAGTCTGCCTATGTCAGACCGCATCTCTTTCAGCAAAGTGTTCCCTGTAATCCCGTTGTTTGTCCGTGTGACTGATTTGTTTTCTTTCAAGAAGATCCCCCTGCCGAGCATTAGAGACATGACGCAGGTCAAGAGCACCTGCAGAGGACCTGGGTTCAGTTCCTAGCACCTACCTGGTGGCTCACAGCCACCTATAACTCCACTTCCAGGGGATCCGAGGCCCTCTGCACCTATTTGAAAGCCCCCCTCCCCCTCCCCCTACACACACACACACACACACACACACACACACACACACACACACACTACAAAGTGTTGCATTTGCAGCATGGGTAGAGGTGATTATTTTCAAAGAAATTCTCTGGGTTTGGCTCTTAGCCATTTCCCCCACAAGGCATTTTGGTTCCTAGTAACAAGAACCCTAGATATTCAAATGTTAGTAACTTACAGTAGCTTGGAGACAGATGTTAGGAATATATTACACGTAAAGGAGGGGGTGCCCAGGAAAGAGAACAGCCAAGGCTGTGCACCCTCATGCAGAGAGGTCTCTGCCGTGGAGTCCTAAGTCAGTCATAGCAGCGAGAGCTCGCCAACCGAGTGGCTTCTCCTCCTGTAGAGTACCTCGTCGAGCTGAGGGAATATGGGCCTGTGTATTCCACGTGGAGCGCCTTGGAGGGCGAGCTGGCGGAGCCCCTGGAAGGTGTTTCGGCCTGCATTGGGAACTGCTCCACAGCCTTGGAAGAGCTGACCGATGACATAACAGAGGAGTTCCTGCCCGTGCTCAGGGAATACATTCTATACTCTGACTCCATGAAGGTAAGCTGGCTTGCTTTTTGCACACTCATCAAAATTATTGCATGTGGTACTTGTCTGTAGTTGGGAAGACTGACAAATAGACATATACACATATAAATAGACATAAACAGAAACATATAAATAGAACGTGTGGTGAACAGAGGTTGTGAATTAAGTGGAAGAAAAGATCAGAAGAAATTTTTGATCAGAGTTGTCATATTGAGAAGTGAGATACTGTGGGAGAAGGATGGTTAGATAACTTTGGGACTTAAAAACATGATTTGTTGGGGCTGGAGAGATGGCTCAGTGGTGGAGAGCACTGGCTGCTCTGCCAGAGGAGCCGAGTTCAATTCCCAGCACCTACATGGCAGCTCACCACTGTTTGTAGATCCAGTCCCAGGAATCCACTTCTAGCCTCCTGAGGCAACGGGCACAGACAGACAAGCCAGCAGAGCACCCAGACACATACAAATTAATTAATTAAAAAAGCACATGATTTGTTAAATAAAATTGGTAAAGCTGGAAAATGTGGTTGAGGAAATCTTAGAAAGAAAGACCAAGAAAAGTAGTTGGTCAGTAAAACACAATGCAGATCTGCAGAGCTGTGGGAAGGTGAGGGGCGGGGCGGCCTCAATCTCAGCGCTCAGCATCTTTCGGAGAATTCCCGACTGAGGGAACAGGAATAACCAAGGGAAGGCAATTAGGAAAGAGGTAGTACAATAAAATCTCCCAAACCTGAAGATTACAAGTCTTCTGAGTAAAACGAATGTGCTAATTGTCCCGCAAAATGAATAAGAGGAGACCAGTCCAGCAAAGGCCACTGTGTACTTAAGGGAGAGAGAGGTAATGTAGACAAGGGTGAGAGTGAGGGCGGCTTTGGTCTAATGGTGGCGAGTGAGAAAAACCAGCCGAGGACACACAGATCTGTAGATGTCTATAGCATAAGGATGGAGATGTTCTCATGGCCCACATACGGCCCATAGAGCCTGGCTGAGGACACAGCTTCAGGGCACTCCTATGACCGTGGCACCAGGTGGAGAAAGGATCCGTCTTCCTAACAGCATGAGAAGATGCATGGCTCTGTGTTGGAAGCCCACCTCCAAGCAGCCCCCTTCAGGTAGCCAAGGATAGCCCTGACCTCCTGATCCTCCCACTTAAAAACAGATGTGTACTGAGTACTAACTGACTTCCAGGCATACATCATCGTGCCTGGCTCAGAGGTGATGTATTATAATAATAATAATATAATAATAATAATTTGATGATATTGGAATAGAAGCTGAAAACCTGAAACCTCTGGCCCCAGCTTCTTCTCATCTGTTACGTTGCTTTTAAATACAGATACATAGAGAGAAAAAGAACTTTTAATTGTGTGGATGAAGCAAGTATGGGAAGGCATCCTAAATTATTTAAATGAACCAAAATGTTTTTCACTTTACTTACAACAGTGCTTGCTTTTGTAAATGAAGAATAAATTTTTATACTCCTTGGTATTTGTCTGGATTTGACTCATATACACATACCCTTCCTTCACCAGGATGCTCCCCAGCCTTGCTCAGACAGAATCCAGTGCATGCACAGTTTCAGGGTGTTGTACAAATTTTCCTATTCTAGCGTGTGGCAAATGTGTTGATATTCAGTATACATTTGTTCTTCGAACAGGATTTTAAATTGTTGTTAAGCAAAGCTTTACCTGGTCTCTTAGTTGAGACCTGGGCTACACTGTGAGGCACAGGGCAGCTGAAGTCATACGGTAAAGAGGTGTTGGCTTTTCTCTTCCTTCACCACATGTGTGAAGCACTGTACTGAGTTTCTTGATCACTGATCCCCAGAGTACTGCACTCAGGTTAATGGGGCGGGGAGAAGGATCGTCTCCGGTGTGTAGGGAAGGGCGTGGGGAACGCAAGTGTTGCCGGCAGTACCTGAAACCCAGGCTCTGGCCCAGGGCCAGGCCAGGTAAGCTGCTGGGGAAAGGGGTTGCCTGCTGGCCCTTTTGGTTCCAGAAAGACACCTCCACAGACTGCTCAGGGGTGCACAGGGGTGACCCGACAACAAAGCCAGAGGGGCACCTAAGATTGTTGGGGTGTGAGGGGCTTGAGTGACGACTTTCAGAGAGTGAAGTGTGTCTTTATTGGTTCCCTTGCCATTGAATATTGGTGCTGCCTAAAAATCCTTTTTCATATTTTACTCTCCAAGAGAGTCCTGTAGTTCTTTCCAGAAAACTTTCTGATATTTTATCTTATTTCGAGACAGGTCTCTCCTTGTAGCCCTGGCTGTCCTGGAACTCAATGTACAGACCAGGCAGGCCTCGAACTCACAGAGATCTGCCTGCGTCTGCCTCCCGAGTGCTGGGATTAAATGTGCATGCCACCATGCCCAGATGTTTTAGATTAGTGAGAGAAACTTTGGTATTTGTTAGGAAAACTGAAATTGAGAGGGAGTTTAGTTGAGGCCTGGAGACCACCTTTTTTTCCCCTCCAGCTGCTGACAGGCTTTAGGACCAGGAAGGCCCTGCTGGCTTCGCTCTGATGGTGGTTACTGGTGCTAGCTTTGACTGAACCTAAGTGGGTCTTTGAGGAAGCCTCTTGGCAGCTGCTGGAGCCCTCTTTCCTGCCCCACAGTTTATGAGCTCGCAGCCTCTCCAGGGGAAGACCCGGACTTGCGCTCAGGAGGAGACGTTTGTGCTCTCCGGTATATACTCGCAAATCCAGTGTTGATACCGAAAGTCAAACCACAGATTATGCCCCTGATTCCTCCAGGTGGTTTTCTCATTGTCGGCGAAAGGCTGTTTGCCACAGACATGTCATTGGCACTGTTAGTTCATTGCGAACATTTTGGGTGACGGGCCTTACGTTTGTATTGTTTGATAATTCTGTTGTAGAAAATTTCAAACATGTCCAGAAACTGAAAGTCTGGCAAGCCCACCTCATGTTCAAGAGTTCAAGAGTTGACTACTCATGATCCAGCCACTCCCACCCCACCCCCTAGTGTTTTAAAGTGAATCCTAAGCATCATTATAATTTTGTAGAAAAATACTTAGCACCACAAATATACATGCTCCTATAGCCAAGTAAAAAAAAAAAACCATATCATTATCATAACTGCTACAAACTAAAGCCAAGGGCTGGGTAGCTCAGTGGTGGAACACTTGTCTAGCATGTTTGAGAACCAAGGTTCAACCCCTCAGCACTGTGGGAAAAATCATGAACAATTACTGGGCTGGGGAGATGACTGGGTGTGGGGAGTTGGCTAAGAGTCCTTTCTGTGAAAGCTTGGGGAGCTGAGTTTGGATTCTTGGTACCCACATAAGCCAGGTGTGGCTCCATGCATCTGTAACCCAGTGCTGGGTGGTGGTAGGGGGTAACAGAAACAGGCATTTCTGGGCTTGCTGAATGCTAAGCCTATAAACTCCAGGTTCTGGGAGAGACCTTGTCTCAGGAGAATAGGTGGAGATTGATAGAGGGAGACACCCAGTGTCCTCCTCTGGGCTCTGTGTGCATGAACATGGGTATGCAATGTAACACACACACACACACACACACACACACACACACACACACACACACACACACACACACACACACTTTTAATCAACAGTTTCTGACTATGGTCACCTATCCAGTAGTGCTCAAATTGTCTCACACGATTTTTCTAGTCCTCCCTCCCAAACCCATCAGACTCTGTCTATTCATTGGGAGGTTTCTTAAATATTTTAAAATCTCTTCCCATCTTTTCCTTTTCCTCACAATTTTCTTGTTGAAAGTGAGCACTGAGTTGAGTCCTTAGCCTTCTCTTCATCTGAAGTTCCAGATTCTTAGGTCCACTTAAAATCCTGCTGAAGGGCTCAGCATCTGAAAGCGCATCCCAGAGAAGCCATTCTAACTCTTCACCCTGTCCCCCGAGGCCTCAGTCCTCCCCATATTTGTCCCTGTTTTGTTTTTCCTGGGTGACACTTCGTGCCACCCCAATACTGCTGGCATGTTTCCTGCCCACCTCCTCTCTGGCATGGGAGCACCGTGAAGGCAAAAGTGTTTGTTCTCTTCTCTGCCCCTAGGTTGATGAACCATGATTCTGAAAGGCAGAAGTTGGGGAGGAAGGCTGGTGACCTCAAGAGAGGCTCGGGTGGCTTGTGTTTGTCCATCGGAGGCAGGGGCCTCTCTGAAGATGGAGCTTCCTGGCTCTCTCGTTCCCATATCAACCCTCTCTGACAGCCATAAGCTGGATTGGGCAGTTGTATCCCCAGAGACTGTGTGTTTGGGATGGGGAGCCATCCTTAACATGGCCAGCAGTGTGTAGAGGATCCCCCTTAGAAGATACCCAGCCTTCAGCATGGCTGGGTTGTGGTCAAGCTGTGATACCCTAAGTCAGAAGATGGTGGACACTGAGCTGCTACTGTCCTGCCATCCCGCAGTGTGACACCCTGCACTGTCACCAGGCCAAGTCTCCTCATTTAGACAGTAGGCTCTGTGTCCTTTGCCGGGAGCCTTTCATGCTGTCTGGTGATCATGGGATGTAAGCCCAGGTCCTTCCCTGAGCCTGCTCATGAAAGCAGCATCTGTTTGCTCCAGGGGAGATTGGGTGGCAGAGGCGTGGACAGAAGAGCAGCCCAGACTAGCTGGGTCTGAGCTTCTCTTGCCTTCTTTGTGGAATGGGATAAATAGTGACCATCTAAGGTGGATGCGTCTTCTCTCACTTCCCTCCCTTCGAGGGTCTTGGCACCCTCAACAAAGTGACATAATACAAACCAGGGAGAGAAAACCACACACTGGGCTGACAGCCCAAGGCCTTTTCTCAAGAACGTTGGCTCGGAGATTCTGGTCACACCAACAGAGCACCTATCTGTGCGGCTTCATTCCTTGACGTGCTAGACTGAAAATGCCCGCCTTTTCCAGTAAGATGTGCAGCGTTCTGTGAAGGGAGCACACACACACACACACACACACACACACACACACACACACACACACACACACACACACACGCGCGCTGGATAAGATGCCGTCGCTCCCACAGGCAGCGTTGTGAGTTTATTTCTCTTGGGTAGAGAGGATGATTTTCAGTACTTCTAATACCAGACAGGTAGATTTAGATTATAGCCTAGACTTTGTGAAATCAGAAATCCTTGTTATTTTCCTTTGTTGTGTTTTATAGGTTTAGCTGTTCAATGTGGTAGCCACTGGCCATGTATGATGATGTATTTGACTTTAAGTTTAATGAAATGAATAAAATTCAGGGCTGGAGAGATGGCTCAGTGGTTAAGAGCACTGGCTGCTTTTGCAGAGGACACAAATTATGGTTCCACCACCCATGTCAGGTGCTCACAACTGTTTATAACTCAAGCTTCAGGGGGATCTGACGCCTCTGGCCCTGGTGGGAACCTGCATTCACACAACACACACACACACACACACACACACACACACACACACACACACACCTGTTTCTTCAGTCACATGAGCCACGTGCCAGGTTCTTGACAGGCAGAGGGGGCTAGTAACTGCTGTGTTATAGACCGTTTCCCTCACAACAGAAAGCTCCATTGGAGACATTCCTGAGTGTGGGGAGTGAGCATCAGAGCCCTTAGGGGAAAGATGTCTGGCCCACCTGGAGAATGAGTGATTACAGGTTATATAGTCTTCAAAGTAAATTCCTCAGGAGAAGATGTGGGGCCCCCAGTGTGGATGATTCCCTTCAGAAGATGGGCCGTAGAGTACCCTCAGACACTTAGGCACTCAGCACTTGTGAACACATCCCCAGGGACACCAAGTGCCTAGCAGTTCAGGAATGGGTCCTTCTTGCCCTGACTCCATGCCGTGTTGGAAGGTCCCTGTGTGGATTAGAACCTGTCTTGGAAACTTGTGGCTTCTGAGTCATTGGGTAAGAAGGCTCTCACCATTCCTGGTTTGCCATTTTCTGATGTACCTGAGGAAGGTTGCGGGGAAGAACTGAGATGTGCTTTTTCTACTGTGGACAAGTCTTGTGTCTGGCACTGTAGGGTCTGGGCAGCAGGGCTAAGATTGGGGAGGGAAGGGAACCCAGGGCACAGGCTCAAGGTGCCATTCACTCTCAGGTGCTCCTTGCTAGTGTGGACTGAAGAGTGAACACGTCCCTACACTTCTCACGTGAGCACCCACCTGCCTTGCCTCTGTCCCCCCCAGGCTGGCTGTCATTGAGCCATTTGCTGCTCATCCTGACAGGCTTGCTGCATGGTTCTAGGGACTCAGACCTGTCACACAGAGCTTGTGCACACACCTGAGGGTTCAGTTTGAACCCTCAGGTGAGGATTGAGTCTCTGCATCCGGTCCCGACCCAGAGTAGACAACAAACAAGTGACTGATGGAACAGTGGACAGGTCAGTCCACCAAGGATCAGCCAACACCAAGGAGTCAAGAACTCGCCTATAATCATCCTATAATGGAGTGACGATAGCTGATTAGTGTATTCATGGAGATTGCTGAGAGCAGATTTAAATGCTCTCACCACAAAGAAATAAGCATGAGGTAATGTCTGTTAATTAGCTCAGTGTAGCCACACCATAATATGCATGTTTTTGGAACATTTTGTGCACAATAAATATGTATGATTTTTGTCAGTTATGTAAATTAATAATTAATTTTTTGACTGTTTTTTTTCCACTGAAACCAAAGACGGCCCTGTGTTTAAGCACAGAGCTCGGCATCGGTCAGAGTTCTCTGTACATGGTAAGGCTGAGGCCTCTCGGCAGTGTGCTGGTGGGTGCACATCTCCACACTTGCCCTTTCCAAAATCTACTGCTGTCAACATCTGGCGGCGTTCTTCCCTGGAAAGCCCAGTCTCCAGGATTGATTCTCCTTCCTTCCTGTTCTCAGAGCTCATGTCATATACAGCTTCTGGACCACAATCCCTGTCCTGGGAACACATGGCTGGGCCAGGGTGCTGTGATTTGGGGAGGGCTGGGAGTTGGAGGCCCCTTTACAGACTGTTAACATGCTTCTCTCTACCTTCCACAGAGTGTGCTGAAGAAGAGGGACCAAGTTCAAGCAGAGTATGAAGCCAAATTGGAAGCTGTGGCTCTGAGAAAGGAAGATCGCCCCAAGGTCAGGACAGCACCCGGCAAAGGCTGAATGCTGCAGGCTCCCTACTGATGTTGATGATCATCCTTAGATTTAAGGATAGACTCTTGCCACTACCAATATGTCGTTCTCTTTCTTGTTTGTTTGTGATTAGACTTTATAGTTGTATTCACAGAAGGGATGGGAGTAGGGAATGTCATTGAAATGTTATAGTAAGGATCAATGTTCAGGCAAATAGTCTGACGTCAGAGCTAGTCATCTGTACTCCTCTCCCTGGAACAGATTTGGAGAATTTGAAACTCAGACCTCAGAGATAACACTCTTTGACTTTGTGTGTGCCTTTTCTTTTTTTTTTAATTAATTGTTTCACATATTACTGTGATAGTCATCTGACCCAAAGGGGAGGTAGTATTACCCCATTTCATGGGCAGGAAAGTGAGTCACAGAGCTGTTCTGTGCATCTCTTGGCCTTTTGGATGCAGATGTTTCTGACCCAGTCTGCCATCATAGCAGGCGTAGATGCATGTCTGCTGTATTGATTCATGTGTTACCATAGTGATCCATTGTAACAAGTCTTTTTCTGTCCCACTAGCAAGCTCCCAAATAATGACATAGAGACTTCTTATAATTATGAATGCCTGGCTTATAGTTTAGGCTTGTTCCTAACTAGTTCTTATAACTTAAATTAATCCATTTATATTAATCTCCATTCTACCATGTGGCATTACCTCTTCCATCTAGCACCTCCTGTTTCCTCTCTGTATCTCCTGTGCATCTAGATTCCTTCTCCTCTTCCTTTCTCTCTCCAGAAATCTCCTGCCTAGTTATTGGCTGTTCAGCTTTTTATTACACCAATCACAGCAATACATCTTTACATAGTGTACAAATATCCCACAACATTTCCCCCTTTTTGTCTAAATAAAAAAGGAAAGGTTTATTTTTTTTTAACTGTAACATACTAAAACTATATACAATAAGAACAATTATTAGGTAAGAATTACATTCACAATTTCCAACCCATTTATATTTGGCAAATTAGGAGAGAGTACGTATTATCTATTCTATCTTAATGAGCCAGAGTTTTATACCTAAACCACTTTCTTTTTTCTTTTTTTTTAAGATTTATTATGTATTTATTATGTATACAGCATGTATGACTGCAGGCCAGAAGAGGGCATCAGATCTGATTATGGATGGTTGTGAGCCACCATGTGGTTGCTGGGAATTGAACTCAGGACCTCTGGAAGAGCAGTCAGTGCTCTTAACCTCTGAACCATCTCTCCAGCCCCCACCTAAACCACTTTCTATCATAGCTTGTATTACCATTCTTAAAAAATATCTTTTTAGACCATAAAACATATTTTTAGGTAAACAACTTAAGCTTTTATGTTTTTCAAACTTAAAAACTTTACATCTCTTATGTAAGTTTCTTTTCTGAATTTGGTAACAAGGAAAACTGTAAAACTATAACTATTAGTCTTCAATCCCATCAAAGACCCAAGAAGGATAAAATATTACCTGAGTAAACAGGAAGTATAGAGTAAACAACTTCCAAAACTGTAGAAACACAGAGACCTCTGGCTTCCTGGACAGTCACCCAGGGTTCCTCTGTAATGTTGGGGCATCTATATTTGGCCTACAGGCCTAAAATATCTGGCAGACTTTTCTGTGAAACAGTAATTTTGAAGGACTGTCCTACTATGTCTTGGCAAAGTTCGGCCTTTACTTTCTTTTGTGTCTTGCTTGTCCAGTTTGGACAGCATACTGTCAGCAGTCAAGGAAAGGGCCTTAAACCCACTGGGCAGCTCTGCCCATGGCCCTAGCTGGCTCAAGCCTGCAGGCAGCAACCAGGAGCCGTGTGTCTGTACACCTCAGTCGGCCTGAGACACTGCAGGACTAGGAAGCTGTGTCTGGCTCTGTGTTTGTGTGTTTGGAACTTTTTTTAAAAAAACTTTCTCAGGTCCTATGTAGATAGTCGAGACTCCACGTTTGATGCCATATGTAACAAGTGTTTTTCTGTCCCACCAACCAGCTCCCAAATAATGACATAGGGACTTCTTTTTTTGGGGGGGGTGGGGGGACGACTTCTTATTACTTATGAAAGCTCGGCCTATAGCTTAGGCTTGTTCCTAACTAGCTCTTGTAACTTAAATTAACCCATTTCTATTAATCTACATTCTACCATGTGATGTTACCTCTCTTCCATCTAGCACCTCCTGTTTCCTCTCTGTGTCTCCTGTGTGCCTGATTCCTCCTCCTCTTCCTTTCTCTCCCCAGAAATCTCTCTTATACCTCCTGCCTAGCTCTTGGCCATTCAGCTTTTTATTACACCAGTCACAGCATGCACCTTCCCACAGTGCACAGATATCCCGCAGCAATCCACACTGGAACATGAGTGCTTCTTGCCTCTGACAGAAAGCGGGATAGGATCCCATGTGGGTTACTTTCCTCCTTGCTCTGCCCAAAGTCACTAGAGGAAGGGAGGGTTTACTCTAGCTTACATTTGAGGTTTCAGTCCAGCATGGCTGGGAGGACATAGCAGGACGAGCATGAAGCAGCCGATCACATGGTATCACAACCAGGACGCAAAGAGCCATGGACACGAGTAGTACCCAACCCGTTTTCTCCTTTTTATTCAGTGACAACCTCAGCTTGTGGAATGATGCCTGCTTCAGTTAACCCAATCTAGAAACCCTTCACAAACATGCCTGGGGTTTTGCTTCCATGATGACTCCAAGTTTCATCAACTTGACAATCAGGATTGGCCATCTTGTCTACCAGCCCAGAGCATGTAGCTGATGGACACCCCACCCCTGCCACCCCTTGCTTCTCTTGCCATGGGCTGTCGCAGGCCCCCTTCCTGTGTGCTGTGAGGAACCCATGGTGGAAATGAGGGCAGGCGCACAGTCTCCGCCATCTTCATGCTGCCCCTTTCACTGGAATCTTCTAGCTGTTCTTATGATCTGGAACATAGCTCCGTGTGCTGAGCCCACATCCCAGCCTCGTTGAAACGGAATGACATGGAAGACTAGATATTTAAACATTTTATTTTATTTTATTTTATTTTATTTTATTTTATTTTATTTATTATTATAAATATTATAATAATAATAATATTATATTATTTATTTTTGGTTTTTCAAGGCAGGGTTTTTCTGTAGTTTTGGTGCCTGTCCTGGATCTTGCTCTGTAGACCAGGCTGGCCTTGAACTCATAGAGATCCACCTGGCTCTGCCTCCCGAGTGCCGGGATTAAAGGTGTGCACCACCACTGCCCAGCTTAGCATTTTATTTTTTTGTGATTTAGCTTTAACTATAAGGATAGAGATCGGGGCTGGAGAGATGGCTTAGAGGTTAAGAACACTGACTGCCCTTCTAGAGGTTCTGAGTTCAATTCCCAGCAACCACATGGTGGTTCACAACCATCTATAATGAGATCTGGTGCCCTCTTCTGGCCTGCAGACAAACATGCTGTATGCATAATAAATAAATAAATCTTAAAAAAAAAAAAAAAGGTAGAGGTCACCTTAGGAAAACATAAGTGGCTGTGATCTCATGTGTAAAGTCTAAAGAACTTATAAACACAGAGAAGAAAGGTGGTTTCTAGGAAGTGGGGAAGTAAAAGATGCTGCTCAAGAGGCCCGACCTTTAGTCATAAAATGAGCATATTCTGAAGATCTGATGTGCTTCCTGGGTGCCATGGATGCCAGAGTGATTATGGTATCATTACATGGTTTATGTGCATGTCAAATCATGCGTTCTTAAAAATCCAGACGTCACTCTTTGTCCTAGTTGGCTTTCTGTTGCTGTGATAAAGACCATGGTGTACACACACACACACACACACACACACACACACACACACACACACACACACACACACATCTCCCTGGGCACAGTCCTTTGGAGGAAGCCAAGGCAGGACTCTGGAGGCAGAAACTGAAGCAGAAGCCATAGAGGAATGGACTGTCCTTATTGATTTGCTTTCTATGACTTGTTCAGTTGACTTTCTTCACAGCCCAGGGCCACCTTGCCCAGGGGTGGCTTTTATGTGGGTGTCAGGGATTCAAACTTAGGTCCTCATATTGCAATGCTTGCTCACTGATCTCCCCAGCTCTGCCACCCTCCAGTCTCTGGCCTTTTTTGAGCCTTAGACACATTTCATTGCATCCTAAGCTCCAACTTCACACTTCTCCCCTACACCCCTGCTCCATGGCTGTCTGTCCATCAGCATGTGGACAGACATCGAGGAAATGAGCAACTTTAGGCTTTGCTCTGCTTATCTTCATATGGTTTCGAGCTCACAAATAAAGCCGCTGTTAGTGAAGTAAAAAGCCAGGGCATCAGGAAGTGAGTTAGGTTTAGTTGTGTTCCAGAGACCCAGCCAGCTCCGTTAGTTACTGGTAGTCTAGTGGTGGGAGGTGAGGGCTGGGTTTGCACATAGCAACAGAAAGTGAAATCTTAAGAAAAAAAAAAAAAGGAAAGAAACAAAAAAAAAGTTGATCCAGAGAGTGAGAATTTTGAGGTGGCATACTGAAATCTAATCACTTAAGAAAAACTCTGTGTGTGTGTGTGTGTGATGTGTTCATGTGGGTACCCAGAAGCCTCAGGGTCTCTGTTGTTCACTGCTCTGTGCTGGACTACCTGGCCTGAGAGCTTCCGGCCATTCTATCTCTGACTCCCATTACAGACTCTGTAGAATCATGTGGGTTCTAGGAATCCAAACTTAGTATCATGCTTATACAGCAAGAGTTTTTCCCACTGAGCTGTGTCCCCAGCCTAAAACCTAATTACTTTTGTGTAAACCAGAGGAAGGAAGGAGTTTCATGGGTCTCAGGATCCTCCCCTCAGATAGAGTAGTCACTCTAGGATGGAGGAGTCAGGATGAAGGATCGGACCGCATGGCTGAGGTGCTGGCTGGAGCCCTGTGGTCTGTCGGTGAAAGCCGAGGACAGGTCTGGTGAGGCTTCTAGTGCTGAGAGAGACATAACTGGATAGGATTTCTAGTTTTGCTCTTTTTTTGAGTCTTGAGAAAACCATAGACACTGAGCTGATTTGCCCTCAGAAAGTGGAGCTGTTTTGTGTAGACTTAGTGTGGTGGTTTGAAAGAAAATGGCCCCCAAAGGAATGGCACTTTTAGGAGTGTGGCCTTGTTGGAACAGATCTGGCCTTGTTGGAGGAAGTGTGTCACTGTGGGGTCACTTTTGCTCAAGCTTTGCTCAGTGTAGCACTCAGTCTACTTCCAGTTGCCTGCGTATCAACATGTAGCAGCTCCTTCTCCAAAACCATGTCTGCCTGTACGCCGCCATGCTCCCCGCCATGATGATAATGGACTGAACCTCTGAAACTATAAGAGGCCACCTCAGTTAAACGTTTTCCTTTATAAGAGTTGCGAGTCTGTGAAGAGACAGGGGGTCATCGTGTCTCTTCACAGCAATAGAAACCGTAACGAAGGCACTTGGCTTTCTTCCTGGTTTTAATGTTGAGAAACCACAGGCATAGGAGGAGACCAGCTGCCTTCTGCTGGCTGTTCCAGGACCAGACTTCACAAGTCTTAGAATGTGGCCCTCTTCAGAGAGAGACTCAGCTGTTACTACAGAAGTGTCAGAGGACTTGATATGTAAAGTTGGGCTAGACATCGGCACACTGAGTAAATAGTGAGGGGACATTTACATTTCAGTCAACTTTGCATTTAGAAGAAAGACTTACTTTATGTGCATGAGTGTTTTACTTACATGTATGTGTATGTACCATGTACCTGTGGAGACCAGAAGAGGGTGTTGGAACCCCTGGAACTGGAGTTACAGGTAGTGCTGAGTTGCCATGTTGGTCCTGGGAACCACACCCATGTCCTGCAAGAGTAGCAGGTGTTCCTAACCACTGAGCCACCTCTCCAGTACCTGTAGTTTTTGCATTTTTTCTCTTTTCCATGCTAATACATTCACGTATCATTAAATCAGAAAAAAATAAGGAAGCAGGGCCTGGTGGAACATGCCTGTAATCCCAGTATTCAGGAGCCTGAGAGGCAAGGGAATCCCCAGTTAGAGGCCTGCCTGGGGTACCCAGCCAGACACTGTCTCAAGAAGCCAACAGCGAACAAGAAAGAATGAGGGAGGCCAGGAAAGATGCTATGCAAAAATGGAGTTTTGTTTTGGTTTTTTTGAGAGAAGGTTTCTCTGTGTAGCCTTGGCTGTCCTGAAACTCGCTCTCTAGACCAGGCTGGCCTCAAACACACAGAGATCCACCTGGCTCTGCTTCTTGAGTGCTGGGATTAAAGGTATGTGCTACTACTACCCGGCATAATATAGTTATTTTGTTTTTGTTTTTGTTTTTGTTTTTGTTTTTTTTTTTGGTTTTTCAAGTAATATAGTTATTTTAAAAGGAATTTTTGAAAAATGGCAGAAAGCAGCTATTTTAGGCACCATGTATGCACAGTTGAAAGCAGAGAAAGGTGAACGTGGGTTCCAGTCAAGTTTCCCTGCCCCTTTCCCCTTTAACTCAGCAGGCACCCCATTCGTGTTTGGAGTGGGCCTTCTCTTAGTTGACCCTCTCTGGAACCCCTTCTGCACACACCCAGAGAGTCTCTTGGGTGATTCTAAAATCCAGTCAGGTTGACAGTGACCACAGTTGTGTCAAAAGGGCAGCAACTACACACACACACACACACACACACACACACACACACACACCGTGTTGGGATTGGACTTCAGGGCCTTTGCACAGTAGCTACGTACTGTCCCCTGAGCTGTGCCCCAGCACGCTGTCACTGGCGTAGTGAGTGTCTCACCCTGTAGTCCAGGCTGACCTTGACTGGCTGTCTTCCTGCTCCTGCCTTCCTAATGCTGCAGTTCCGAGCATCACATCCTTCTAGGAGACTCCCCTTTCCCGTACTGGGGACCGAACCCAGAGCCTGATGCCTGCCAGGCAAGCACTCCACCACTGAGCCGTGTCTCTAGCCCCAGACATCTTAATGGCGAGCTCTAAGAGACCGGGGAGCATTAAGCAAGGGTATCTATCTATCATCTCCAAATACTTTTGGCAGGTGGAGAGACAGGCATTTTCTGGTAAGTTTCACAGCAGCTGTGGTTGCAGACCGAGGTGGGCAGGGTTCTGTTATCCCCCCCTCTTCATTCCAGCCTTCTGTCGGTGTGAGTGTCCCCACTTCACAGATGTTGGGCCAGTGCTGGCTGCCTTTACGGGTTCCACATGGGCTCCCTGCGGCCTTTGCACCGTTGAGGCGAGCTTTGGCTTTTGTGAGCATTCAGAGATGAGCGCTGCAGGGCCTCGGGGAGACTGTGGGCCTCCTCTTGGCTCTTTTGCTCTGTCTCTCTAGCTTCTTCCCTGGAAAGGAGCCCGTGGCTCCCCATCTCTGAATGTGCTCTTGGCTTCTCAGTCACTGGATTCCCTTCTCCTCACCATTCCCCGGGAGTTGGTGTTTTCACTCTGTGCCCTTCTGTATTCCTACCTCAGGCTCACACAGAAACCTCTGTGCACCACACAGGTAACACATGGGGCTGCTTGAGCTGGAGATGCCTGTCTAGGGTTCAGGCTTCCGTGGGCTGTGAGGATCAATGCGCTGCTATTCACAGTTTCGGGGAAGGAAATGCTCTCCTCAGTGTACTTGGCTGAGAAACCACAGTGTTGTTCGTGACAGAGGAATTAGTCTGTCATCAGTCTTGGGACCTGAAGCCATGAGCACCTCTTTCCCTCAAGTCTTGGGATTTTTGTCTGTCTTACATTCCTGGGAGAGTCTAATAGCCAGTGGTAGGGAATGAATAATGTGAATCTGTGGCCTTGCTTCGAGAAGGAAACGGGTAGAGGTTTATATATTAGGGCCTGGATGCCCTAATATAAATGCCCTGCCCACAAAAAGAGCTCAAGAATATGGATTTCAGATGGATTTAGGCTACCACTCTGCATCACCACACACGAAAACATACAGCGTTAGCTCACCAAACAAACGAGCACACCGCGACCATTAGCACCCATACCTGAGCCTTTTTCTGATGGAATTTCTCATCAGACATGGAGGAGCCTGTGTGGGAACAACAGCTTATCCTCAATTCAGACTTTTTTGCCATGTGAGGCATTAGCAGGTGACCCAGCCCCCAATTTTTTGTATCTTATTATAGAGAGCGCCCATCTTTTATCCTTGGATATTGCCATCCCAATGTCTGTCAGACGCAAGGAGCGTGACTAACAATAAGGAATACTAGGTGTTACTCATCAGTTAATTATTACAAAAACACGCAAACAAGAAACAGTCACAACGTCACCTACCTGCAAGCCTGGGTGTCAGCTGTCAGCAGCCCTCATATTCATGTAGTTGGGCAACTTCACCAGGAAAGGTGCCAGTTCCCTCAGCCCGGTCCTTGCCATGTCGACATTGTCCTGGCTGATAGACACTGACTCCCAGTAGTTATTCCTGTACTTGGGGACATTTGGGCTCATTGGTCTGGGGACTTGAAACCTTGAAAGTCTCACTTGCTTCTGGCACCTGACATGGGCCCAGAGGGGCACTGGAGACAAGACAGGAAAGTCTGGCTTGGGCAAGCCACTGTGACCGGGAGCCCCGTTAGCCACGTGGGATGAATGCAACTCACTGTAGCAAAGTGAAGGTCACGAAACCCAGGGGGCACTTCCCTTCGGAGATGGTCTTCCTAAACCTTAAGAAAAACTTGACACTACCTGCTGTATTATGCTTCAAATTCTTTGGATACTTTCCTTTCATTCTGGGACTTTCTGGTTATCTGCCACCCAGAGCGCAGAAAGGTACCCAGTTTATTTATGACGTGGAGTTCAGAGGAGGGAGCTGACTGGTTGTCTGGTTATTACAGTTGACGCAGGAAAATGAGGGAAGACATCATCAGACATCACGAGTATTGGACTAGTTCCCGTGACCCAGGAAACCCCTTCTTTCCTAGTTCTGAAATGACATAGGACTGTACGCAGGGCTGCTGCTGTACGTGGAAAGTCTGTCCCCATTTGTCAGCATGGATGGGTAAATCCTGAAAGGATCCTAAGCCACCTTACTCCGATTGCAGGGTTTTTCCTTCCCATTTGTAAATGGCGACAGACGCCCGTTTCCTGTGCGTCTCTGCTCTGTTGAGTGGGATGATGTTTGCTTTTTACGAACCCTTCCTGGATCCCACAACCCGAGAGCCGCTGTTTTCCAGGGACATTTTAATTTAGCACTTCGGCTCACGGCAGGAGAAACCAGACACACTTCACAGCCACGAATACATTTCCCTTCCAGGTGCCAGCAGATGTGGAGAAGTGCCAGGACAGGATGGAGTGCTTCAACGCTGACCTGAAGGCTGACATGGAGAGGTGGCAGGGCAGCAAGCGGCATGACTTCCGGCAGCTGCTCGTGGGCTTGGCGGACAAGAACATCCAGTATTATGAGAAGGTGAGCAGCAGGTCCCGTGCCACTGCGGTTTCTAGTGGCCAGAGCCTGGCGGGGGCAGGGGTGTCCCCCAGAAACCCCAGAGCACGATCCTCCTTGTCCCATCCTTAACTTGCATCAGAGGTGCCCCAGTGCCCTGGCAGAGCGCAGCTGAGTGTGGGAGCAGAGACCGAGTTCTCACGGGCTCCCCGGCACGTGCTGGGGGAAGTGGCTAGACCAGCACCTGGGTGCCCCCAGTTTATGGAGGCTTTGGGGTTTCTTATGTTACCTTGTGGTTCCACATAGAGGGGTCTTCATTTTCACCATGCCAAGGACTCCCTTTAGTCATCTGTTGAAGCTCATAGACATCTTAACCAAAATCCTGTTTGTTTTTAATGTTAGACTTTACAATACTCTTTTTAAATACCTAAAATAAAGGTATATGGAATTACATAGGAAAGCAATGCTATTAGAAAAGACTTTCATTCCTGTATCCTCTTGATCTATGGACCTCAGGTTAAACATTCCCATTAACACACACGTGTGCACGCACACACAGACACACACACACACACAGACACACACAGACACACACAGACACACACACACACACACACACACACACACACACACACACACACGGGAGGAGAGGGTAAGAGGGAGAGAGCCATCTCCTAAAATCAAGATTCACTCCTAATGTATCTAATTTGGAGTCATTTCTGGTAATGAGTCTTGGTGTCTCATCTGCACTTACAGTTAAACAACGGTCCGGTTTCAGCTGAAATAACTTGTGACCTTGAGATTCAGCTGTGGGAACCAGGGCAGCCTCTCACCCCGGAAGGTGTTGGGGATAGGGCAGCCTCTCACCCCGGAAGGTGTTGGGGATAGGCCTGTCTCCTAGATTGTGGCCGTAGGACACCTCCTTGGCCTGGGCTGTTGCTGAGGCTTCTGTGGTTGCGGCTGCTGCTCTGAGGTGATGTGCCTGTGCTTTTCCCGGCTTCCTGAAGGAAAGTCGAGGAGACAGAGCTGAGCGTGGGGGGAGATGGAGGCGCCTTCCATCCTTCCCTGCCCTTTCTCTCGAGTCCCTGCTGCTTCTGAACTGGATCTGCCCCGGGTGCTTTGCACACGTCAGCTCATGAAATTTAACCCTCCATCAGGCTCAGAGGTGTGGGTATCAGAGGAAGTCCTGAGTGAGGTATTGTTGACCCATTTCCAGGCTTCCGAGGCCTCTGACCCACAGGAAACTGGCAAATCCATTTAATCATGGGCAGGCTCAGGAGGGAGAGCAAAGCTTGCTGGGGCCGGAGTGTGAGTGGTGTTGAACAATTGATCAGGGTGTTACAAAGACTGGAACCCTAGCTTCCTCCTGCCAGGTGTTTACAGCCTGAGCCTGCTCAACTCAGCCTACAGGCCGCCTACAGAGATTACCAGCACTGGCTAATACCCCTCCCCTGTGCTGTCCCTAATAAACTCACTGAGGCTCCATGCTGCTGGCAGTAGGAGCCCTCCATCAGAGTGAGCACACCCCCGCCTGATCCCAGCTTTGCTGCATGCCTGTCTGTATGTCTGTCCTTTTTTCTTCGCCACCCCCTCGTCAAGGTTCCAGGACCCAAGCCACATGGTCATGTCAGGTGGTGTGGCAAAGGAGATGTTATGATTTTCAATTTGGCTAAAGAAACCAACACTCACAGAAGTTTAAAAATTCCTCCCAAGCCGACCCACCCTTTGAGTACCAAACTATAAATATCTAACTGATGGAACTGTGAGTCCGGATTGTCCCACGCACAATCAGCTTAGGAGATGGGCCACATGCTTTTGGAAACAGCCTCGGTTCCTCAAAGGTAGGAAGCTCCCCACATGAGGTCAGGGCCTCCTGCTGCTGGCTGTGAGTTAGGCCAGGCACCCGCCCATCTCTCTCCTTCTTGATTTGTTAAGTCCTAATCATTTTTCAGGGGATGATCGTGAAGATAAAGTAAAATGCACATTCACGTTACCAGAACATACTCAGCATGTGGCAAACAGTCAGTAAAAGTTACCTTCCTGTTCTTACTTCCCAGTCTAAAACCAACAGGTTCAGTGTCTCCATCATACCCGTGGTGGGTGACTCCACCATCTCTAAAGTCCCAGAATGCGCACTCGGGTCTATGTCTGTTTCTTCTCATTGTACCCTAAACAGGGTAACTACCTTGAGGCCTGGTCTTGGCATCTACGTGTAATTGACGTTTTTCCTGTACTTCTTGTGTGCGAAGGATTGTTTACAAAGTTGGTGAATAGCTGGATTTGCACAGCCCCCTAGGCATCCCCAGTCCATCAGAGATGCGCTGATGATAGATTCCCAGAGGCAGGGGTGAAATAAGTATGTTAAAGGTAAGGAACAGGGAAAACAAAAAACAAAAACAAAAACAAAAACAAAAACCTAGGGGCCTGGTGGAGAGGGCAGGAAAGACCAGTCTGTGGAAATAACATTTATTCTGATCCCTAGAGACAAAGATCTGACTCACATCTACCGTAGGCAAAGGGCACAACATATGCAAGTCCCTGGGCAAGAAAAGAACTGACACATTTGAGGACCGAAAAGAAGGTTTGCCTGGTCATGGTTCCTCTTGGGACATGCACAAAGACCCTTGTAGCTAGGAGGGGCTAGTTTAGAATTTGGAATTCTGTGGACTTCCCTTGGGGTCCACTGCTGGAAGCAAGCTCCTTGAGGCCGCCTAGTCTGTCCTTATGTAGGACAGGCCTCTGCGTCGCCCAGGAAGGTATCAGGGAGAAGTTTCACCACTCCTCCGTCTGCTTGACCTGGTGATGCCTCTCTCCTCTGCAGAACTCCGCCCAGTGACTCAGCAGAGTCCTCCTTCCCCAGGCTGTCTGGTACAGTGGGTTTATCCTTCCCTCTTGCAAGAGTCTTCAGAGGGAGGAGTGTGTCTACTGGGGCACCACTCTCAGTGCCAGTGCCCACAGCTTCTAAGTTCTTGGCCTCTCCGAGGACCTGGAGTGAAAGGAGCTTGCAGCGAAAGGAATATCAGTTTGCATTCATGTTCTGCCTGAACCACGTGACAATGAATGGAAAATAGAGAACAGTGTATGCCCTAGTGAAACCTGATAGTTGGGCCAGTGCGATGGCCCCCTGGAGTGGGTAAGGGGACTCGCTGCCAAGCCTGACATGGTGGAAGGAGAGCGCTGACCCCTTCAGGTTGTCCTGACATCCACACACACATGTCCTGGTACATGTGCTCCCGCCCTTCACATGCACAGGAATCACTGTAAACGTTGTTGGCCTCCCTTCTCCCTGTTCTTTGGGGAGAACTAAGAGTAGCCCAGACAAGCAAACCAAACTTGAGGTTGGTGAGTGAGAGCAGGTTTTCCACCCACCCTGACTCAGGTGGCTGGCCCTTCATGTTTACATCCTTGTACAGCTCCACCCACACCTCCAACCATGTCCCCATCGGGGCTCAGAACTGGTGTCCTCATCAAGTTTCCTGCCTGGTCTGGTTTTTGCGTAGTCAAGGGACAGATTTCCTTAGCGTGGCTCCATCTCCACTCCCTGGGTGTAGGCTTCCCACTCATGAATGCTTGCGAGCCCTGTAAGGACACTGCTCTTTGATAAAGACGGGGGTGACACATTCCGGACAAACACCTGTCGCCTCCTCTGCTGATAGCAGCATTGATAACGCAGGTGGGCGCCATGGACAAGGGTGACCGCGCAGGATCAGGATTGGCAGAGTAGTGCTAAGCAGCTGACCTTGCGTGGGCTTTCTCGTTTCAGTGCCTCATGGCGTGGGAGTCGATTATTCCACTACTGCAAGAGAAACAGGAGACCAAGTAGCTGTGTTCCCGGCGGCACTGAGACTCTTCTGCCTCCACAGGGCACGGCACCCTGAACCAGAATGTCCCTGCAGAACCGAGAGGTGGTCATGGGAAAACAGCAGAGCAGCGCCTCTCCTTTGTGAACCCCCCGCCCCTCCCCCCACCGTTGTTTTCAGTTTCCTGTCTATTCCTTGGTGGAGCCCATGGGGCAGTAATCATCTCTCAACAGAAGCATACCTCCGTGTTGTGAAGGAACCTCCTAAATGGAACACTACGAAGACTTGAAACTGAGGGACAGGACAGCCCCCAGATGACGTGACGGCACTTTGGGGGCAGCCCAATTGCTGTTGTGGGACAGAGTCAGGGACACGGGACACGAAGAAGGCAGCTGTGGCTTGCTGTGGAGACCCTGTGGCTCCGCACTTTACCCCCGGGGGCATTGACGTGTCCCAGCGTGGGAGGTATAGGTACCTTCTTGGAAAGTCCTTAATTTACGGTGGCCTGTGGCTGTGACTGTGGCCTCCTGCCTGCTCATCGTGAGTGGCATCCCTTGGCTTGTTTCTGGTTCACATGGGTCCGTTTAAGTCAGTGTCTGTGTGCATCCGTGCTTGAGTGAGCAGGCCAGCGTCCTTGTCCGTGTTTGACGCCTCAGGAAGCTGAAGGGAATGCTCCCGGATCTTGTTTCTGGCACCAGAATGCTATAGATGAGAAGCTTTTTGGTGTGAATTGGAAAAAAAGGTGCATTTTTTTTTTTTCTCCGTGAAGGTGTTAGTGTGTTTGTCTTGCTTGTTCGTCACCGTGGTTGGGATTAGACCTGTTAGGAAACCGCTGCTGTCTTGTGGTCAGCGACTCTCCCCGTGTACCAGGCCTCAGCTCCAATGTCTGCTTTGTGCAATTTGCCTTTACCTCACCAAAAATGTCTGGTTTCATACTTCCTGTCCTGCCCACTGAACATCTGGGCAACCTCGCAGTGAGGGCTGGTGTGTGGCATTGTTAGGACTGCCACAATTTGTAAATTCAGTGTGAATGTTCTATATGAGTGTTTTAACCCCCCAAATTCTGTGATCAGGAAGGAATCTGCAGCCCCCCCCCCCCAGATGTGAGGAGTGACAGCAGGCTCCTTGCTTCTGGTTCTGTGGAAATCTCCATTTGCAGCCAAAATCTGGGACCTGCTGGCTGTGCTCAAAGTCTGCATTTGAAACTTTTCAGTTTGCCATTAAAAAAAAAAAAAAACAACAGTTAGAAGGATCTCTTTCAGATCATTTTCTTGCTGAAAGAAGCTGCATAGTATGTTCTTTCTTCTGTGGCTCTTTGCTAAAAACCCATAAATCCTAGCCGCCAGTAAATGGGAAGGGGTTTTGTTTATTTTTAAAATGAAGCAGTCGAGTTAGTGCTTCATATACAAGTTAATTTGCAAATTCCAATCCACACACACACACACAGCATGCTGAAATCCTGTCATTCCTGCTAACAGAGTTGGACCTCCACTGAGCTGCCTCTGGGACATCGTGGACAGCAGCTAGACAGCATGAAACTATTTGTCTTTTCCCGGAACTTGACCAATGTGTGATGGAAATAATAATTCCTGAAACTATTGGTACTTGCCTAAACCCCATCCATCTATGCCATCCTAAAATCCTTTGATGTGAATTTTGTTTGGTACAAATAGAAATGACCCACTGAAGCAGAAGGGTAAGAACAGTCTGTACACCCCCAACTTCAGTGGCTCGGCATCTCATTCTACCTCTAAACCATCGGGTTGGCGTGGGTGTGAATGCCCAGAGCCAACCCAAGCATGCTGGTAGAGTCAGGGCATGTATTCAGTCACCAACAGGCCTCCATTGATGGATGGCAGCAGACACCAGACTGGCCCAGCAGCGATGTGCAGCTTTGGGAAACATGAAACTTCGCTTTGTGGACCTTGTGCTTGATAAGTGTCCAGTGTCATGATGCTTGGAAAGAATTAAGGAGAAGCCAAAATCTGATGACCAGCTGCTTGCTGAAACCCCAAGTCAATCCTGTGTGCCGGTTAGCTAAGAAAGAAGGGAGCCCTGTGGAAACAGCCCTGGGCTGCACAGGGAAATGTAGGGAGGGATGCAGGGTCCACAGTCATTCCCTCATGAGAGGCTGCCTTTCACAGCATCTTGAAATTTTTGTCTTTTTCTGTTTATTTGGCCAGCAAGCAATGTTCCTTGGCTTTGAGATTCCAGAAAGATCTGGAATGATGGAGACCTTCTGTCCCCTAGGAACGATGTCAGTGGCCGAGCCAGGAACCCCATGCACAAGAAGGTACTCTTGTCTGTCTTCAGGTAGCATCTGGCGAGCTGAGGAGGCTGGTCCTGAAGGAGAGGGGCAGCGGCCCGTGAAGGAGGCCTCCTGCCTTCCCTACTCCTGTGGCTCCCTCAGTCCCCGGAAGCTCAGCAGTCATAAGCATTGCCTTCCTCTTGGCCAAGCACAAAAGAGATTCCCCCACACAAACTATAGCTCAGAGATCACAGTGCCAAAATGCCTCAGAGGCTCCATTAGTTCCTTCTGGAGTCTCCAAAGCCTCTGCCTTGAAGTCACAGACCCCTCTTGTTTATTTTCCATGAGACTTTGCCTTGAGGGTAGAGTGTACCGTACCTCAGGCAGAGGGATATAGATAGCTTTTAGGGCTTGAACGCATGACAGAGAAATGAAAGTTGGCTCTAGTAACTGTCCAGGTCCTGAGATATGGAGGGTTTGTTCACTGGGTTAGAAATCTGCCAAGGCGAAAGAGAATTTGAGAGAGGTGAACGTTTAGGAGACTGCTGTAGTTTGTAGCAGGAAAGGTTAATACTAATGCTGCCAATTTGCAAGAAGAATCTGGGCTGCTCTGCCCAAAGCAAGGAGGCTTTGCTCTGGAGTAAGGAGGGAGCCACTCCAGCCTGTGTGGGCTTGGCTTTTAGCCTCTCCTAAGGCTCAGTAATGAGTGCTGGGGAATGGAGAATAGGCTTAGGGAGGAACCAGGCTTGGTGCGCACCAAGCTATCCTGAACTCACCAGGCATTTCCCCGCAGCCCAAGTAAGAAAAACCCACCATATCTGGGGAGAGAAGTGGAATGTAAGTCTCCTTTTCTGCCAAACGTGAGCCCATGGAATGCGTTCTTCCTACTCAACGGGAGGAAACTGTCCATGCACACTGCAGCCTCTGGAGAGGCCAGTGAAGTTCTGGTTTAGATTTGAGTGTGGCGCCAAGGTTTCTCCTTGAGGACAACACTCAGACTCCCTGACTTGGTCCTGTCCTGTGGAACTGAAGGCCTAGGTAGCTGCCTCTGTTTCAGTGAGGTCATTTGAATCATGGAAACGTCATTACACTACGCTATCCTGAGCTGGTTGGGATGGGTAGAGCAAGGCCAAGGACTACCTTAGATGCTGCATTGGCCCTACTGGTCTGGGTCTTGGAGTGGACTGGAACTGGGATCCTTTCTGGCTAGGTGGAACTGGTGACCCTGAAGAGTGATTCTTCCAGGGGATCAGCTCCTGGGGCTGGGGCTGGGGCACCCCCTTCTCACTTCTGGAACTCCACCTTCTCACAAAGGGAGTTTGGAAATCAGTTAAGCTAAGCATAGGGCACAGCTAGGGGACTTTGGTCGTCTTCATTTACAAGATTATGTTGGAATTTGGGGTTGCCTTCTCACTCTCAAAAGACTTCAGGATGGCAACCGATGGGCTGTGCCTTCTCATCACCTGCGGTTGTCTCTGCTCAGGTAGAAGGTGGCACTTAGCAGTATAGTTGAAAGTGACCTCTTCTTGGCCAAAGAGAGATGCTGTAGGTGTGTTGGGCCTGCTCCCTCCCTCCCTGTTTATAATTTAGTGAATAATGAGAGATTCTGTTTCTTCTACCAACCCACTCTAGGTTTGAAGGTGTCTCTGTGGCTACACACATCGGAGGACAGGGACTCTTTGTCTGAGGAGGCTGGGGTGGGGACTGACCATTCTCTCTTGATTATATCTGTTTGAAATATTCCTGGGTGTGGCTGACTGTCCAACCCTTTATTCGTGGCAAAACCAAAACCACATTACTAGTTTTTAACTACTGTAGTTTCTAAGTAAGTGCTGTGGGGTGGGGGGAACCTCTAAAGAGACCAGTAAGATGTGTATCTCTTCTTATCTGTTCTCAGCACTTGAAAACCAACACATCCAGAAAAAGCCGGACTGTTAAAAGCATAACTAGTTCTTAGAAACTTGTCAGTACCCACTCATTGCCTTACTCCTCAGCTGGTGTTTTAAAAAGTCTGCATAGAACGTTTTACACGTGGAAGCAGGTGGTCTAGAAACTTAACACAGGCCATGTTCAGTCCTCTGAAAGTCACAAGCCAGAAGTGAGGGTCACAGAAGGAAGGTGGCCTTTTGGGAGGCGAGACTAAATATTGCTGTTGCCAAATGATACTTGAAATAATGTCGAGAAACAGGGACCACGGCACTGTTTGCTGTTTCCGAGTGGGACAGATGAACTTCGTATGCTTTGGCATGGTGTGGGCTGTGGAGGATACAGACATTCTCAGCAGTGACGAATCCCACAGCTTCAGAGAATCCTCTAGATTGGGCCGGCATGGAAGGTTTACCCTTGCCTCTGCAGAACGGGCCCTAGAGCACGTTGGGATAGAAACTCTCCAAAGGTTGAAATGCCAAATAACACAAACCTGTTCTGTGGACTCACTTAGTATTAAAGCCAGTGGTGACGAGTTGATATGCGCCTCTCCCAGAAGTACCGCCCAAGTATCGGGTGATTCTGGGCTCTCCACAGCCCAGGCCAGAGCAGCCAACACCTGGGCACACTGCTGTTGGACAGGCTGGTTCACAGCCTTAGACTGATGCTCTGCCAGGAACAGTGCTGGAGGGCAGGAGGAGGAGGAGGGATTTTTTTTTTTCCTAGACTGCAAAGCAACATGTGGATTGGTGTAACAAAGGGATGGCTGTGTCAGCTGGGCCTTCATCCGGGAACAAACCAGCATCTTTACCAGTCAGCACTGTCCACCTAGACCGTGCCTGCCGAGGGTTGGACCTCTCCTCAGAGTCCCGCTCACTGTGTGTGTGTGCGCCTGTTCCTTTCATGCCTGGCCAGGAATGCATGGAGAGACAGCCTCTATCTGACAGACTCCCACAAAACAAACTGCCAGCAAACTTTCTAACTCACATTTTAACTGGTCAATGGGGGGATTAAAATAAAATTTTGGACTGTTTTTTTTTTTTTTAATTTTTAGAAATTGTTCTTTGTGTTTAAAACTTACCGAGAAAGAAGCAGGCTTCTGAGGTATGGAGTCTCGCTGTGTGCTCTCTCTCTCCATGCTGCCATTAAGCCAAAACAAAAGCTGTGAACATAAGTGCTTGAGAGAATGCGTGTTGATAAGAAAGTGATTTATTTACAGATCCAAGTCTTTGTCTCATGAAACTACCAAAAAAGAATGTCACCCTTTTCTTTGTTATGGAACCAGAGATTATAAAAAAAGAAGAAAAAAAGTTGTTTTGTTGTATTTTTGATGCTGGCCCGAGGTTCTTGTTCACTTTGGTTTTTCGTATATCTGTGTGTAAGAAATTCTGTTTCTTGTTTACTATGGAATTAGTATTACATTTTGAGGTAAACAAAGAATTTGTATTGCTTGATAAACTATTAGCTTGTAAATTAAAGTAAAATTCTTTACCTCAATTAACTTAAAGTAATGGACCAATAAACCTATAAAAGATGCTTTATTTACCCCGGGTCATGTGCTCATTTGTACTTGTTAGGACAGGGGAAATGGGGCGCCTGTCTTTCTGGTTTTTTAGAAGTTTCTCTGAACAGATGACAACTTGCGTGTGAGAATCAGAGCATGCAGATTCTCACATGCGGGGTAGTAGGAAAAGGCATACATAAGTACTCACATAAACTCGGTGTTGACCAGAGGCCCTGCCACCGTTTGCCCTCTCCTGCATCTTCTAAGTTGGCACCAATTTAGGGAGACAAATTGCTGTAGTATCATTGAGACTGCCAGGCGGGTGCTACACAGAGATTCTTCCTGCATGGAACAGTAGCAAGCTCATTCTATTCCAGGTCGGGGCAACCATTTCCTGTTTTTGTTTGTTTGTTTGTTTGTTTCGTTTTTTCCTGCCATGTTTTTGAGGCATTTCCAAGAAAAGGGAATGCCTGCAGTTTATGAGAATGCTTTTGCAGAGGACAGAATCCGAATGCAGTCCCCAGTACCTGTGCCAGGTAGCTCCCAGCCACCTGTAACTCCAGCTCTAGGGGACCCAGGGACCTCTTTTGCCTTCTAATCCTCACTTACATGCACATTCCCACTCAACAGACACACCGATATACATGTAGTTTAAAATGAAGCTGGATGTGGTGCCCGCCTTTAACCCCAGATCATGGGAGGCAGAAGCAGGCAGATCTCTGTGAGTTTGAGACCTGTCTGGTCAAATATTGGGTTCCAGGTCAGCCAAGGCTCCATGGTGAGGTGCTATTTAAAAACAATGTATATGTGTGTTTATATATGTATGTTTATATATATATATATATATATTGTGTGTTTATATATACATACATACATACATACAGTTAATCCAACATCATTAATTCAATACTACAGTGATATAAAATGGGACAGCAAGATAGAATAAGGAGATTTGAGATTTCAATTCCATTGTCTGATTTAATAACTAGTTCTAGAATAGTTACATCTCTGAGCCTTCAATACTTTAAAGTACAGACAGGCCTTCCCTATAGGGTTCTTGACAAGCTAGTAATTATGTACACAAAGCACCTTTCTGGTGGGCACTTGCTATATGACAGCCCTTATGGCAGGGCTTTTCCTACTACCTGTTGAGATATGTCCAAGTTAAATATTAATGAGTAAGCCTTTCCTATATGTTTAGCTGATTTTTAAAGGACTGTTTATATACCTTCCCCCTTCCCTTTTATAAAGGTACAGAGGTCAGATGCTGGATGATTGGGGTCAGGCTGGAGACCTGGGACATGGGTAGAAATAAATCGCAAAAGCCATGGCAAGGGCTGGTGAGATGGTTCAGCAGGTGAAGGTGGTTGGCATTCCCTGGAACCCACATGGTAAATGACACACACACACACACACACACACACACACACACACACACACACACACCACACAGAGGTTATAAATATCTTTTTAAAAGCCATGGCAAGAAGTGATAAAGGAGGAGGTTGTTATGGGGCAGCCAGATTAAAAGACTGTGAGAAAGGAGACTAGGTCAGAGGTCATTTGGAGCCTTACAGCCTGGGAGGTGGAGGTGATGCTATTGTATCAGTCAGGGAAGAGAGAAAGGATACGGTAATCTTAAGTGGTGAGTGAGGGGAAAATAAGGGGGCTAAGTTATCTTGGGGAGCTGGAAGTTTTGACTCAGGTGTTGGAAAAATTCTGGGGTCTGTGGGGTGGTGGGGGGACAGATTATTGGAGAACCAAGTGCCTTTGGCACCTCAAGAGTTAAAGATGCAAGGAGGACAAAGGAAAGAGGATGGGGTGGGTGCAGGGAGGTTGGGAGGGCGGAGGAAGTCAAGTTGTGATCATTCCCTGCAGGGAGTCAGATACAAACTGTCCAGATGCCCTGACATTTAAATACATTCTCTGTATTTCACTCTACTTTGAGAATGCCATATCTGTAGTTACAGGGGGATCCCACCAGGGAAAGAACGATTTGTACTCACACTGTGAATATTGATTTTATTAGGAGATAATTCTGCTCTGTAAGCAAAACAGACAATCTGAATAAGTAACTCAGAATAAGCTGCTGCTCAACATCCCCTGTGTTGTTACACCATTCACTCAGGAAAGAGACTGAAAATGTTCCATTGCATATTTCTGGACTTGCTGGATTTGGCTTTTGTTGCTGGGTTTGTTTTGTTTTGTTTTGAGGCAGGATCTCATGTATTCTCGGCTGGCTGCAGACTGGCGATACAGCTGAGGATCGCCTTGAACTTCTGACCCTTCTGCCTCTGTCTCCTAAGTGCTGGGAATTCAGGTGCCCACAGCCGTGCCTGGCTTAGGAGGTGCTGAGGATGGAAGCCAGGGCTTCGTGCATGCCAGGCAAGGATTCCACCCGCGGAGCTGCAGCCCTGGTCCTGACATGTGCTTCCTAAAAGCAACAGTGTTAACCTCTTGTTTCCAGCTGAGGAAGACTCAACCAAGAAAACTCGTTTTTTCAAGATTTTACATTAACTTAAAAACTATTGTCGTACATACAAAACTGTTGTCAGTATTACAAAATGCCCATTTCCTGCTCATTCCCCTTGGGCTTAAGCCTTCCATAGAACTTCTAGCACTTGACTTGTTAACCATCTCTTGGGGCCTTTAAGACAGTGATGGAGGACAGGGGCTGGCTGGAAGGAGCCTGAACCCCTCCAGGACCTAGGATGCCTGTGCAAGCAGCTGGTACCCACAGACCCTAACCTCTACCCTGCAGAGACATCTGAGAACTAGGAAATTTCCTCCAATACCCAGAAAGTGATTTTTCCCTCCCCCCGGGGGCCCGAGGGCCACAGCAGGTCTTCGGAAGGCTGGAACTTGGGTTTCACGGGCAGAACCTGGTTATCGCTGGTGTTTTCAACTCCTTCATTTCTCGGCACTCTCTCCTTGTTGCGACCTCGGGACTTGTTTGTAGGCCACAAGGCTGTAAGAATTTGCAAAAGAGAATTATAGAAGAAGAGCTGGGATGAGGCGCGGGGAGTGGGGGGAGGGTGGGGGGGGCGAGGTAGGGAGCTCTTCATCTTTACCTAGGCCTGAATCATCTCCCACCAATCTTTCTCACCGACGGGGAGAGAATTTGTCTCTATAGTGCGTCAGATGTTACTAAGTTCCAGAAGGCTGGCTCTAGAGAACTCTCCCGATTCTTTCCAGTCCCGGGATAATGAACTTCTCCCTGTCTCCAGTAACACTGTGAACTAGGCAGCTGCCCCATCTTCCCAGCGCCTCTTTGCCTCTCACTCCTGCCTAGTGATGAGTTCCCATGAATATCAAAGGCCTAGTTAACCTTCACTGATCCCAAGGAGAGTTAGTGGTTTCAACTTCAGTTCAGTTACCAGTGGCCTCTGAGGACCTTGTCTGCACCCCCAGCACTGAGGTTGAAGTTGCTTTTTCCTGGGTGCTGGAGATCTGAACTTGTATCTTACACGGCAACCATTTTACCCAGGCCATCTTCCTGGCCCCAGTTGTTCGTGTTGTTATTTTGAGGCCAGTCTCAGGAAGCCCAGGCTGGGGCTGGCCTGGAACGTTCTGATCTTCCTGCCTCACCCTCTGAGAGCTGGGGTCCCAGATGTACACCATCACACTGGGAGGGATGGAAGCTGATGCTTTGTCATGCTAGGCAAGCACTGTACCGATTAAACTACACCCCCAGCCTGCCTTTTGTGCTTTAAAATGTGGCTTCTGCCAGATGTAGGGGCACACACTTGCAATCCCAGTGCACAGGAAACTGAGACAGGAAGGTTTAAGTTTGAAGCCAGCCTGAGCTTTATAGCAAGACCATCTCTCAGAGATCTGCTGCCTTTGCTTCTGGGGTGCTGGGATAAAAGAGGGACTCCACTACTACTTATAGCCCATCTTTCAAATTAACAACAACAAGAAAGTGGCTTCTTGGGCCTGAGGGGATGGCGTAGTGGTTAAGATCCCTTGCTGCCAGTGTTCTGTTGATATCACTGGGAAGACTGCTCTTTTCTGAAGGGAAATGGAGAAGCAGTGGATCTGGGGGAGAAGGGAGGTCGGGAGGGGCCGGGAGGGGTGGAGGGAGAGGGGGCTGTGGTTAGGATGTGTTGTACGAGACAAAATTAAATAAAAAGAAAAAGGGGGCAAGAAAGAGCACTTGCTGCTCTTTCAAAAGGCCTGAGCTGGGTTCCCAGCACCCAGCTGGTGGCTCACAGCCATCTGTAACTTCAGTTCTGGAGGATTCCATCTCCCTCTGCTGGCCTCAGTGGGCAGGCACTGCATACCTGGTGCACACAGATGTACATGTGGGCAAAACACTCAGAGACACAAAATAAAAATAAATACAATTCTTTAAAAATAAAGCGACTCCTTACCAACTTTAACACACACACACACACACACACACACACACACACACACACACACACACACCCCTTTGTGATTCACACTCTTTCCTAGTGAAGCCAGAATTAACCCGTCCTTTCGTCCTTTCTTTCCATTCCCGAGCCCTCTAGCCCTCGGCTAGCAGTGCCTGGCTGTGGAGCAGCTGGCCTGCTCTTCATGGCTGGGGCCTTCTGTCTCTGCTCCCCTGGAGCTGAGTGCTCTTAGGTCACAAAGGAGATGGTCCCTCAGAGGAAGAGGGCAAGGGATTGTTGGCTAAGGCCTTGCTGGGAAGCTCACACCAAGGGGTGGTGGCTGAGTCCCTTCAGGACACAGGGAAGAAACAGTCCTTGGAAGTGACGAGGGGTCCTAAAGGGATCCAAACCAAAGATCTGGTCAGAATGGCTCCTGCGAGTTTCTAACAGGGCCTCCAACTGCAGGGAAGTATGTGAAGCCCCTAATAATCGATCGTTCTGTGAAACTGCCAGGGAGGGGCCAGGTTTTGGGAGCCGTCTGTTCTTCTTTGAGGGCACTTGTAATAATAATAATGATGATAATAATAATAATAATAAAAGTCTGATTGACGTAAACACCAGGGCCCCAACCCACATAGCAGACAGTTTCTGTCTTACCCAATTGGGACAATTGCCAAGAAGGAGAG